CACAATTAGCTAAGTTATGGCTTTTGGAACTCTTTCCGAAGAAAGACAATTGCCAAAACAAAAATGTGCATATAGATGGAAAAAGAAGGCGCTAATTTCGGAATTGAATACATTGAGCAATTACTATGTTTTTATATAAATTTAGTTATAAGGTCTAAATAATTTATTTTAACCTATGTTTCAACTTTCAAGTATACATGTTTCGTATACTTCAGTTTTCGAAACCTATTTTCAAAATTAAATTAGAATCTATATCTATCTATCTTTATATAAAAAAAATATTCATTTGTCAAAAATAGTAGCAAAAAAAAAATAGGACAGAATTTAATGTAACTCATGAATAGTAAATTTTATTATTTTTTATTTTTATCTTTAAAATGTTACCTTAACTTTCGGACCTTAATTAATTTTATTATTTAAAAATTTTGGTTAAGATCTATGCATGTTTGTGACCCCTATTTTCTGAAAGCATTATTGAGTATTGAGTAATGTATATATACGCTCTAAGATGCTCTGTTTTCTTCATTCTTGACAAAAGTACTATATAACATACTGCAATGTATATATACACTCTAAGATGCTGGAAGAACGATTACCTACCAATATTTCAGTATAAATACACGCAAATACTAAAAATTGCAATATGTTTTCAGTATAAATAAGAATTATCAGTGGCATTACTGATAACCTACCAATATTTCTTATGTAACCTGGAGTGCCATATTTCAGTATAATGCTAAAAACACACGCAAGAGGCACAAACATTCATCAGTAAAAACTAAAAACATTCATCAGTAAAAGCACCATTCTGAAAGAGCACAAAAAACCGATGATTAAATAAACTTGATAGCTAGATAGATAGATATGATGAACGAGAATTAAAGTGCAAAATACAAAGCAAAACATAATAATAATAATAATAATAATAATAATAATAATAATAATAATAATAATAATAATAATAATAATATCTAAGTGGATGATTTGATGAGGCTAAGAAGATGGTTTGCCCGTGCAATCTTGACGTTTTGAAAGCTGATGTAGGCCTCAGTCTCATCAACCAAAAGTTTCTTCCATTCCTTATCATCCACCAAAACAACATTCATACTTTCTTTACTCATCGGCTTCAACTCACTCCCCCACACCAGTTTGGATAACTCATACGACTCTTTACCTCCACCACCATCTTCCTTGAATTTAAATTCCTTGTTTTTGTTGTTGTTGAATTTCTTCTTGAGCGCTCTGATCTTGCTCTGAATCTGGATTTTGGTCACCTCCATGTGGAGCTTATTCTTGATAAACTCATGAAAGGCGCCCATGTCTTCACATTTCCTCCCATCCTTTTGGAATTCTAAAAGTCCCTTCAGAACGGCAATCTCGTCCTCCTGGCTCCAAATTCTCTGGAATGCTGACCTTTGCTCAATCTTATTTTTCTTCTTTGAATTTTCGGCTTCACCCGCTGGCAACGGCTTTCGCTTCTTCTCCGACTTCTCTTCAGATTCCGATGGGTTAGGCTTCTTCGACTTCATCTTCCCTTCCGATTCGGACTCGGACTCGGATTCGGATTGAGCAACTGGGTTAGGCTGCTGCTTGATTGGCGGCTTAGGCTTCTCTTCCGATTCCGGTTCTTCACGTTCTTTTGGTTTCGATTCGGAATGGTGACGTTGATTACGCTGCTTCTTCGGCTTGGACTTATCCCTAATTTTTGCCATGTCTAGGGTTTGGTTTGTGTTTGCTTTTTGGTGTGGAAGAAAAGACGGTTGGTATACCCCCAATTTATACAGATTAATTTCAATGTCCAAGTATTTCAAGGGACGTTTTGGGAGAAAAAGCAGAAATTGGTTTAGTAATTAATTTATAAAAGGTATTGTCTAAATTACCGTGATCTTTTCTCGATTAAGTCAAGGGACGTTTTGGGAGAAAAAGCAGAAATTGGCTAAGTAATTAATTTATAAAAGGTATTGTCTAAATTACTGTGATCTTTATACCGATTAATTCAATGTCCAAGTATTTCAAGGGACGTTTTGGGAGTATTGTCTAAATTACTGTGATCTTTTCTCGATCTTTGGATTATCTCAAAAAATAAAAGAAAGAAAAAACAAAATCTTTATGAAAATATTGAATAAACAGGTTAAGGAAACTTGTGAGGTTTAAAACGGGAGGATGAATAGGTGATGTATGTCAGTTTCTAAATTTTTTTTAATAGATATCACTCGTTTGGTATAAAATAATACCCCACTTTTATATAAGTTAGCTTAAAAAAATGATTGATTGTGTGAAATTCTCTTATACTAGTATTCCACTATGTGCATTTGAACACATGTAAATAAAGTATTATAATTTATTTTCATGCATATAACATTATAAATTGTATTTATGCATATAATATTAAAAGTATACGTTAGATAATGGTATTATGTTTAAGATATGATCATTAGTTAAACTAAATAGTACATAAATATTTGATTGTATACGAATCACTATATTGCTTGCATAAATGTCATAAATAATGTAATTTCCGTAAGTTTGAGGGAACATGAACAATTAATTAGCTGAAAAATATTAAATTTATAATAATAATTGTTTATACGATTTTAAAGAAATTTACTATAACATTATATGAATTAATCTATTTAAAAAATGATTGTTTAATCAGATAAAAAAATATAATATTGATTTAGAATAAATAATTGAACAAAAAAAATTATAATTTATTTTTTTATGCTTATGTAACTTTCATATATTATATAGTGTAAAATTTAATTATTAATTTTAATAATAACTATTATATGATGCTATAAAAAAATATAATTAATCAATTAATATAAAATGTAATGATTTTTCTCTTAGTTAACCCAGAAAAAAGTGCAAGAAACTATTTTATCATTAATAGGATAGGTGGATTAATGCAATAATGATGATGATGATGATGATGATAATAATAATAATAATAATAATAATAATAATAATAATAATGGATTGTAACGGTTTTGGAGTATGGAAAGTTTGCTGTGTAGGTATTATTTAATAGGTAAAATTTATGAGTTAAAATTAAATGTTATGATAGCAATTATATATATATATATATAGATTTTTTTCTTATAAACAACAAACAACATTAAAATTTCACTCTCTATATTTATAACATCATTTAAAAGGTAACAAAAATTTTAGAAGACGGTTGGCCATGTAGGTTTAGTTTGTGTTTGCTTTTTGGTGAGGAAGAAAAGACGTTTGGTATACCGATTAATTCAAAAGTATTTCAAGGGACGTTTTGGGAGAAAAAACAGAAATTGGTTTAGTAATTAGGTATTTTCTAAATTACCGTGATCTTTTCTCGATTAATTCAAGGTCCAAGTATTTCAAGGGACGTTTTGGGAGAAAAAGCAGAAATTGGCTTAGTAATCAATTTATAAAAGGTATTGTCTAAATTACTGTGATCTTTATACCGATTAATTCAATGTCCAAGTATTTCAAGGGACGTTTTGGGAGTATTGTCTAAATTACTGTGATCTTTTCTCGATCTTTGGATTATTTCAAAAAATAAAAGAAAGAAAAAACAAAATCTTTATGAAAATATTGAATAAGCAGGTTAAGGAAACTTGTGAGGTTTAAAACGGGAGGATGAATAGGTGATGTATGTCAGTTTCTAAATTTTTTTTAATAGATATCACTCGTTTGGCATAAAATAATACCCCACTTTTATATAGGTTAGCTTAAAAAAATGATTGATTGTGTGAAATTCTCTTATACTACTATTCCACCATGTGCATTTGAACATATGTAAATAAAGTATTATAATTTATTTTTATGCATATAATATTATAAGTTGTATTTATGCATCTATACTTATATTAAAAGGTATCTCATTTACCAGATTTAATATAAAGAAAAGTCAAAGGTAATTAATGTTTGCTGGAAATAGAATGACATTAATTACAGATTTGTTTTGGTATTTATAGATTTTTTTAAGTATAGATTTGTTTTATTCCATAACATCGGTTTAGTTAAAATAATCTCATAAAATCCGTTTTAATGTCAAGCCTATAAATAAAGATTTAATCGATTTTAATAAAGCAGATTTAATCGGTTTTAATAATTGCATAGAATTTCAAAGCTATTATTTATTGTAAAAAAATTAAATTCTAAAAAAATATTTGTGTATATTATGTAAAATGTTTGTACAAAATGTTTTACTTTAAATTTATTTACATAATTTAAATTAATTACATTAATAAATAATATGAACATACATTAAATAATTTAATTGCATAAAACAAAAAGAAGAAGAAGGTTACATCTATAACTTATAATAATAATGAAATTATACTACATTAAATTTTATAATGAAATAATATAAGTATTATACGAGGAACAAGATTACGTAAAATTGTTATTTTTCTTATATCAATGAATAAATATATATAATGAAATCAAATTTATATTATTATAAACATGTGAGCGAGATAATATATTAATTAATTTACGGGCTAGCGCTACCAGACTCAGGTTTAATGTTCCGACAAAAAAAATGACGTTGATGAAAAGATGTAAAAAGATAGATGATCAAATTCTATTATTTTTTAGGCCTGGACGGACAAGCCCTATGGTCCACTCATTTAATATCTCCCGTGAATCGCACGAGCTACTTAACGGACAAGTTCTGTGGAAATAACTCATTAATACTTATGTCTCGTGCATCGCACGGGCTACGTGCTAGTATAATCTTAAAAGTATACGTTAGATAATGGTATTATGTTTAAGATATGATCTTTAGTTAAACTAAATAGTACATAAATTATTATGTTTAAGATATGATCTTTAGTTAAACTAAATAGTACATAAAGATTTGATTGCAGACGAATCACTATATTACTTGCATAAATGTCATAAATAATGTAATTTTCGTAAGTTTGAGGGAACATGAACAATTAATAAGCTGAAAAATATTAAATTTATAATAATAATTGTTTATGCGATTTTAAAGAATTTTACTATAACATTATATGAATTAATCTATTTAAAAAATAATTGTTTAATCAGATAAAAAATATATATCGATTTAGAATAAATAATTGAACAAAAAAAATTACAATTTATTTTTTTATGCTTATGTAACTTTCATATATTATTTAGTGTAAAATTTAATTATTAATTTTAATAATAACTATTATATGATGCTATAAAAAATATAATTATTCAATTAATATAAAATGTAATGATTTTTCTCTTAGTTAACCCAGAAAAAAGTGCAAGAAAATATTTTATCATTAATAGGATAGGTGGATTAATGCAATAATGATGATGATGATACTAATAATAATAATAATGATAACAATATTGGATTGTAACAGTTTTGGAGTATGAAAAGTTTCCCATGTAGGTATTATTTAATAGGTAAAATTTATGAGGTAAAATTAAATGTTATGTTAGCAATTATATATATATATATATATATATAGAGAGAGAGAGAGAGAGAGAGAGAGGGAGCGAAAGGATCATATAAGAATGACTCTTAATGCGAGAAATTAGAATGATTATAAACCATTGGATCGGTACGATCAATGGACATGATGAAGTCAAAATTGAATTGCAAAGTCCAATCTCATATGGCAAAATTGAGTTGCAAAGTCAAATCTCATATAGCAAAATTGTAATTATATAATTATCACATGGGCAAATAAATATCTGGGAGGGCATTTGTGTAATTTCACCTAACCACAAAATCAGTGGGACCCACTCATAAAACGCACCTCCCTCTTCTCTCTCCTCTCTCCTCTCTCCTTCTCCTCCCTCCCCGCTTTAGTTCACGGCGACAAATCTGACCACCACAACAAGTCCGCCGGTTATGTCGCCGTCTTCGGCATACCCGATGCCGCCACATTCCAACGATTCCGGCGACTCGTCCAGAGTCCACGGCGAGAGTTCCGACGTAGATGGCCACAGCAATCGCCGCCACCGTCAAACCTCCACCACACCTCCGCCTTCCACAACCAGTTCGCAGCCTCGCCTCCGCCGTCTGGCCACAGCAGCATCGCCTCGCATCGCCTCCGCCGTCCGCCACCTTCTTCCAGTCACAACAGTCATCCCGTCGCCGCCACCAGCCACACCACCAACGTCGCCGCCGACAGCGTCCCCCGCGTCTCCACCTGCCACCACCGAAACCAGTTCACGCCATCTCCGCCACGACAAGTACCAGCGAAGTTGCAGGTCTCCGATGGTGAGAACTACCACCGCCTGTTGCGCCGGCCATCGCCCGCCGCCACTACGTCAGTCGCCGGCAAAGCTCCGCCCGACCTTCGCCGGCAGAAAGGAAGAAGACAACAGGCACTGCATTTTAAGATTTGGGCATTTTTTTGAAAATTTGGGGCAAATTGATAATTTATGAAAATTTAATTACTTACACATTAATCTACGTAAATTACACATTAGGATAATTAAGTTGTACATTAATATTTTATAAATTGCGCATTAATATTTTTATATAATATTTTATTTATATTGATTGAAAAATAATATTATTATGAAAAAATATATATATATAAGAATAGTATTTTTTTTATATGGTTTGATCGGTCCGGTTATTTCGTGTATTAAAAAAAACCTGATATTGAACTGAATTAACTAAAATTTTAAAGATAACACATATAATCGACCCGATATAACTTTCGAACACAACAAAAAAAAAAATTAATTCAATCGCTAAAATGCAATCCGACAGTAAGTAACGTGCATCACGTCTAACGCTAAAGTGCATTCTGGAAGACATTAACGTACAATTTTATTTTATTTTTTTTATAAAAAAATATATATTAGTAACAGTATTCGTGTTATAAAGTGCAACGTATTATTGTATAAAGTGCAACATATTGATAT